CAGAATATTTTTTCACTGAGTAAATGGAACATGTATTTTATTAACTCAGGAAATCAGAATGCTTGACACAGAATGATTGCTCCGGTAATGGATTTACCCAACGTGGAGGAAGCTGCTTGTTAGTGGGTCTTAACAACAGACGGTGCAAGAATGTGAGCCTCACAAATAGAAACACAATGACTACATGCGGTTCCAGTCAAGGAGATTATTTCTGACTCCTTCAGGTGGCAGGTAGCCAAAGTCTATCTGTGCTGGCTCAATCATGCCCATTATCTTTGGTTTTTACTTCTCCTTAGAACTAGGGAACAGAAAGGAGCAAGCCCTGAAGACACCAAAAACTACTCACTGAGCCAAACTGCTATACTATAACAAAGTACAAGGATTCATGAGATTGAAAAATGGCTCACAATATAATGCCCACTGGCGTGTTCTTAAGTTCGAATTCCCGAGCTTGGCCTCAGTAGATGCTGACTCCTAATAGAACTAACCTTTCTGCCCAGATTAAAATGGCCTGGTAATCCAGTATCATAAAAACAGCTTAATCTTGGCTGCTAGCCCAAGTGGTAATTCTCTGAAAGAAGTCTGATACATTTAGAAAATCATCAGATCATAAACAGGTTTAAAAAAATGATGTGGGCCAACTGTACGCATATGAACCACAAAGCAAAGTGTCAAAGGACTTATTCAGAACTTCAAGTGAAAGAAAATCTTGCTATCATTTCAAGCAATGTATTACTGGGCTTAGAAAGTTATAGCTCAGAGAGGTAAAACATTTTCATAAGACAAAACAACAAACAAACAAAAAAAAAACACAACCTTTTTTCATCTGACCCTCGCATTGTTTTTTCTTACAAAGAGTTCTTTAATCAAATATTGATATAGACTTTACCTGGAACAATATCAAAAATATGCTGTGTTTTCACAAAGGCAAAATGTACTGTTCAATGACAGACTGGATTAAGAAAATGTGGCACATATACACCATGGAATACTACGTGGCCATAAAAAAGGATGAGCTCATGTCCTTTGTAGGGACATGGATGAAGCTGGAAACCATCATTCTGAGCAAAGTATCACAAGGACACAAAACCAAACACCGCATGTTCTCACTCATAGGTGGGAACTGAACAATGAGAACACTTGGACACAGGGTGGGGAACATCACACACCAGGGCCTGTCGTGGCGGGGGGGGAGCCATAGCATTAGGAGATATACCTAATGTAAATGCAAATGCAAGTTAACGGGTACAGCACACCAACATGGCACATGTATACATATATAACGAACCTGCACGTTGTGCACATGTACCTAGAACTTAAAGTATAATAATAAAAAATAAAATAAAAATAAAAATAAAATGTACTGTTATCCAGGCATACACAGTCAATAAGATTGCTTCATCTAAAGTCACTGTCTGACCAATCCATTGGTTATCATCAAGTAATTGGCCAGTGGTGCCTCTTCTCAAATAACACTAAAAGTTAAAATAAAAACCCTCAGGGGGAAAAAAAAACAAAGAACATGCCCAAAGCTCAATTTCTCTAAGTTTTACTGTCCTAGCTCCATCAATGCCTCTCAGGCTCCTGCTGGAAAGGCCACTGCCACCAACCATACAGTCCTCCCTCTGTAGCAGTGGATTCAACCAATCACAGGCGGAAAATATTCAAAGTATAATCAAAAAAATACAAAAAATACAACAGTAAAAAACAATATAAAAGTTTTTAAATACAGTATAACAACCGTTGACATAGCATTTATATTTTATTAGGAGTTATAAGTAATCTAGAGATGATTTAAAGTATACAGAAAAATGTGCAAAGGTTATATATAAATACTACTCAATTGTACATAAGGGACTGGAGCATCTTTGGATTTTGCTCTCTGTGGATCTACTAGGACCGATCCCTAGTGGATACCATGGGAAAACTATCTTGACTCAACCACTGGCTTCTGAAAACCTGATACAGGCAAGGGGAAAACTACACAATTCCTTAGGTTATCAATATTAGTCTTTAAAAAGTATAAACAAAATGGCAGTCTCAACCTGTTACAGTCTTAACTATGTATCCCAAAAAGTCATGTGCTGTAGCTCTACAGTCAACGTTATAATATTTGGAGATGGGGCCCTGGGAAGTAATTAGGGTTAGATGAGGTCATGAAGCTAGTCCTAATGATGTCATTAGTGGCTGTATAAGAGGAAGAGAGAGAAATTGGTGTCTCTGCCACGTGAGGACACTGCAAGAAGATAGCCATCTCAAGCTAGCAAGGGTCCTCACCAGAAACCAAACCGTGCCAGACCTTGACCTTGAACTTCCAGCCTCCGTAACTGTGAAAAATAAATGGCATGGTATTTTGTTAAAAGCAGCCCAAGTTAAGACACAGCTTATGAAGATAAAAGTTGTACCAGACAAAAGTTGTACAGCAGTCAGGTCACTGAATGTGCTAACAAGAAGTTGCTGAGGACCCAGGCAAGTTTACAGTCAAAATCTGAAAGCACTAAAATTTATGACAGTTGCAAAATTATGACACTGAAGTTGCAACCCTGGCTTTAGGCCTAGTCTGTAAGGGAACTAACTACATAGCAGAAGTTCACTTGCTTTCTCTAAAGTAAAATCTATGTGCTTTGGAGGAAATTAATGATATCCCAAAGCTGACTAAGGAGTTTTCTGGTTCCTTTAAACCCTAAATGACAGTTTATTTCATACAGTAGTATTAAATGACCAGCTAGCCTTACAAAATTATCCAAAGCTCACCACAGCCAAACTGAGCCAACAAAACTCCAATAAGCCAATTTAATTTCAAAAATCTAGCAGCTTCTGCGTCCAGAAGAGAAACTGACTTTATCAGCCTATATCTTAAGTCAGTACATTTAAATTTAGATGCAGGATAAAAGACCCCCAACTCTTTAAAGAAGGTTATTTCAATCTGCAGTCAAAGTAGTTGCAAAAGTCTGTTTGGGGTACCAGGTAATAGGCAAAACAAATAGGGCAGAATTAAGGTAGAGAGAATAAAAAATATTCAACTATATCTGTAAAAGTGGATTAACTAGAACAAAATCAACCTAACTACAGTACTGCAGAATAAAATGTGCTGATGAAGTGCTTGCAAAGTTAACAAGTACGGGGAAAACAATAATAACTAATAAATTACTCCACAAGACATATGCTTACAATTCTTATTAAATTCACAATGTCGGCCGGGAGCGGTGGCTCACGACTGTAATCCCAGCACTTTGGGAGGCTGAGGCAGGTGGATCACCTGAGGTCAGGAGCTCAAAACCAGCCTGGCCAACACAGCAAAACCCCATCTCTACTAAAAATACTAAAAAATTAGCCAGGCATGGTGGCAGGCACCTGTAATCTCAGCTGCTTGGGAGCCTGAGGCAGGAGAATTGCTTGAACCCGGGAGATGGAGACTGCAGTGAGCTGAGATTGCACCATTGCACTCCAGCCTGAGCAACAGAGTGAGACTCAGTCTCAAAAACAAATAAAAATAAAATAAAAAATTTACAATGTCTTCAATATATATTTGCTGAGTAGATAAAATACATACTAATCCATACTGACAGGTTTTCTTTCCTGTTTACATGTGAACTTTGAAATAATTAACTGTCAAGTCAATCAACTCTTAGTTAAATGAAAACCCTAAAATAGTTTTAGCAAGCCCTAATGGTGTTTTGAAGCTTCTATCATTATACTTCTCGAACCATGCAAACAGGAAACACCATCTTCTAACTATCCCAATGAGAAGTTCTGCTTCTCAACTGGAAGAGAAGCAGCCCAGAATAAAGAATGGCATCAACTCCATGAACTGAAATTAGGGTTTTCTGGGGGAGGGGGAAGATAATTTATGCCAAGTGACAAGACTACTTAATCTCTGAGGAAGAATAATTCAAAGTATTGTCATCGACAAAATATTAGGTACTGAAGGAAAGGAGAAGAGTAGAAAAGAATTAACATTAAAAACACCTCAAAGAGGACAAAAAAAGATAATGAAGTAAAATTAATAGCACTTGCAATATTGTCAATTATTCCTGGTCACCCAATTAAAGCAATCCACTAGCTTTCTAAGGATAAATTTCAAATATTTGGAAAAAAGGCCTCTGCTTAAAGATTAAGCCAAGTTTGTTCTCACTATAGTCTGAAAGGTTTTTCAGGCCTTCTACAGCATCTATGAGAACACTCAAACTTTTGGCCATAGTATTTAAAGACTGACCGCTCTGTAGGTGTTAACAAACAGCTTAATTCCAATGGTGGATAAGACCTGCATACTAACGGGTTCTGAAACCATCTTCCAGTTCTTCAATCTATTCTACACACTGTAGCCAGACTAAGGATAACATTATTTGCCTACTGCACAGGAGCCTCAAAATGTAATTCCTAACCAAAAAAATCTGAAATTAAGCCTAGTATCCAAGGCCTCTGAAATCTGATTCCATCACACATTTTCTATCCTTACCATATCCCAGCAGAGTTTCATACACTGTAATGTTTATAGTGATCTGAATGGTGTTGCTTCATTGTCTTCCCCATCTTTGTCCAGTACTACTCTTCAATTATCACTGTCAAAGCCATGTGGTCTGAGGCATATTCTGATCCCATTCAAATCAGGTGGAACCTCTCCCTTCTTTAAATGTCTATAACCTATTCTTTGAACTTCTCTTACTCAATTACTGAGTTCTATTTTATGGTGAGTAATTTATGTACACATAGTATGTTCCCTAGTCACAAGTATTCTATCATATCATCTTTCTATCTCCCACAGTCCCTAACATGCAGGTTTCTATAAAGATCTGCTGATTGACTAAACAGACACCTCAAAAGATGCTAAAGACAGATATATTTTAAGGAAAAAAAAAAAGTTTATATATGTCACATTTTAAAGTAGAATACCAAATGTTTCAAATCAACTACGTGTTAATTCCCTAAAACTGGCAATGTTTATCCTTTAATCTACATCCACGTATTTTCACTTATTACAATCAGATCCCCAAACTTACCTCAAACAAGCGTAAGTCAGCAGGAACTCTGTCCCCAACAGAAAGGCAAACTGTATCACCTGGAACCAAGTCTCGAGCAAGTGTATGCTCCAATTTTCCTTCACGCACACTGTAACATGAAATAGAAACAACCATGGTTAAAAAAAAAATTCATGCAACTTATCTTAAAAAATTATTTCCAGTAGGCTTGTCTGAGGAAAAGGCAAATATAAGAACCAAGAAAAAGATTGTTTCTAAACAATTAAGATGCCAAGATGACAGAAAATCACTTGTGGAAAAGGCAAATATAAGAACCAAGAAAAAGATTGTTTCTAAACAATTAAGATGCCAAGATGACAGAAAATCACTTGAAAAACGAATTACTTGTTCAAATGTAAAATGTGCAAATTGAAGCAACCTTTTGAATCACTTGGGTCTGTTTGATTGTGAATCTCTATACCCAGAACACTGTTTAGCACATACTTGTGTGCACGCACGCGCGCACACACACACACATATACACACAATCCGTTAAATACAGCCAGGCACTGTGGCTCACGCCTGTAATCCCAACACTTTGAGAGGCCGAGACAGGTGGATCACGACGTCAGGAGATCAAGACCGTCCTGGCTAACATGGTGAAACCCCACCTCTACTAAAAATACAAAAAATAAGCTGGGCGTGGTGGTGGGCGCCTGTAGTCCCAGCTACGCAGGAGTCTGAGGCAGGAGAATGGCGTGAACCCAGGAGGTGGAGCTTGCAGTGAGCCGAGATTGTGCCACTGCACTCCAGCCTGGGTGACAGAGCCAGACTATGTCTCAAAAATAAAAATAAAAAATCTGTTAAATACATCCATGTCTCAAGAATCTCAGACTTTAAAGTTTTCAATGGTACAGTTTTGCTACATTAATGAGACCAGGAACTTTTTGTGTCAGATTAATAGTGTCTTCCTTATGTTCAGACAAAGTGAGGATAACAATACATACGGTACTAGTCACATTCAACTTCTATTTTTAAAGGGGCGGAAATCCATACCAAAAAAAGGATCATACCAATGGCATTCTGGTGGCACAAGTTTACTCAATTCTTCAAGAGATTTTTCTGAACGATACTCCTATTCAAACAAAAAAAAGTAGAATTTAATTTTGTTCCTATGAATATATTCCATCTCAATCATTATTTTAAAATTTCCCCCAATTCTCATCTTTTCCTTTACTTGTGCTTATATTCTTACCCAGAAAAGCTTGTCCCTTATTTTAAAATGTTAAATTGTAGAGATCAATTTTGATAATTAAATATTCTCAGTTTTACATTTTAATATTCCATGTACAAACCTAAGGTTATTTAGAAAAAAGATGAAAACTGACTAGTATGTCCAAAGAGTACATAATTTGAGTCATTAAAAGTTTTAAGTTATTGAGCCTTAAAATTTAGATACTCTTATGTTAACTGTCTAATGACCACAGAAGTCAAAGAAAATTAACTGTAAACAACATTTGCTTTAGGGATTTAAGCCCATGCTAACAGCAGTGGTTTACAAAGTAAGTTTGCTTAGAACAAACATGGGATAAACAAGGAATAAGATGTGGCTGGCTCTATACTGACAGACCCAGTTTCCATTCAAACTGTGTATCCAAAAGGGAAAATTCTCAGGAGTTCTAACAATGTGATTTCCAGCCTTCTTCAATCCAGATAACAAATAGCTGAGGGTCAGAAACATCCTTCAACTCACACTACTACTTAGTCCACATTTCCATGAGCAGTCTTGCATCACACATCACTGCTATTTTTGCCTCATGTCTGCAGTAAGCAAAAGAATCTTCTAATCTAAAGTCAAAAGAGGGAGAGGCAAATAGTGGAGGTAGAAAGGTTGGGAGTGTTTTGAAATGACTGCAGTGCTAATACCAGTCAAAATGTCCTATCCATCACAAACTTCAAATAGAAAACACAAGGCTATGTAAGAATAACTTAGAACATAATCAGTCTCTACTTAATCTTAGAGTGACAAATATAAGGAAAATCTACAAATGTAAAAATCATAAGACAACACCCCAAACACACGAAGGATATTAAGGAATTTGGAAGTTCACCCCAAAATTCTGTAATATGCTAGAAAATACCCACCAATCCTAGATCCCAGTAATAAATGACATAGATGCTGCCCAATCTTTACCTATCTCTTCTGGTTTCTTAGCCTCTACTCCCTACAATTATACAGATACCTCTATATCAAAATGATCATTAAACATACCACCTAAAACCTAATAAATGCCTAAAAGTCATTTTTCAAATTTATTGTAAGGTGACATCATTATGGCCATTTAAAACAATTAGCTATTTTTATGGCTGGGAAGAAGTACAGCGGTGTGGGAAATGGGGATTACAAAGACACACGGGAAAAAGGGAGAACACAAATATAAAAAGGAATATAAAAAGCACTCTTAAGACACAGGTAATATAGCACAAATACCAAATAATGATAAAGTATTAAGAATTTTTTATACATTTTTGATAAAGAGCTTTTTGATTAAAGCATTATGATAAGTTCACCTGACAATAAATAGGATCTTTTTGGAGAGGATTTTTACTTGTTTATAGACTATTTTGCTAGTTTCACAGGCATATTTGGTGATGGGTCACATGTGTGTAAGAATCAGACCTAGCAATTTGAAAACAGGCTTTTTATAAAGTTTTCATCCTTTTGTGAGGTTTCCATCAAATGTACCTATCATGAAGACATTTAATAGTCTCAGCCGTAGCATTTAATGTATATAACAACACTGTCTTGTGTAAAATTCCATATTGACTTATGTTAAAATCACAGTTTTGTGGTGTTTTTTGAAAGCAGGGGCTTTCTAGTGATCAAAGAGAACAAGGTACTAAGGTCTTCCATACATAGTGATACTATTTGCAGGAATCCTTCTGAAGTAGAGCACTCCACATATCTGACACATTCTTAAAGACACAAGAAGGTCCAGTCATCCAGTGGGTCATACCACTCACTTGGCTGAATGAAGAGCTGCCTTGAATAATGCTTCGCCTGAAATGACCTATGCTAGACTAACCAGCTCCACCTGACCATGGGCAACATTTGTCTAAGCAAGAAGATTCCCCTAAAAGCGGAACCCTGATAGTCTGTCTACTAATGGAGCTCACAAACCTGCTGCAAACAATCTGATTCCAACTGGCTTTCCACACTGGGTTACTACAGAACTAGTAACAACTATGTTAGAGATTACCCTGAGAGGCTGGGATAGTGAAAAGAAATACCCACGTAATAAATCATAGATGTAAGAACCATAGTCACTCAACGAATAGGCTTCAGATTCAAAACAGCATGAACTTCAGGCTTATACAACAGTATTACATTTTTCCCTAAGCTAGAATAATTCTATTCTTGTTAACCATGTTTTAGCTAAAAAGGAAATCTGCCGATATTGTGAAACACTGTTCTAAAATCTACAGAAGCTTCAGATATTTAAATAAACATAAAAAAGCCTACATTTCTGTTTATGTCTGTACTTACTAAAAAGAAATCTTGACATTATCTCCACATTATTCATAGTAATTTTTAAAAGGGGCTACTTTACAAACATTTTATTTACTGTTTCAATTACTTTGATCCAGATCACAACACCCCTTTTGTGGAGGAATGATAAATTGTTTTAAAGGGAGGGGAGAGGAGGTCATGCCAACAATGAGTAGAACCATTTTAATTCCCCAAAAAAGACTCAAAAATAAAATAAGGTTAGGCAATAAATTCGGCACACAAGTATAGCATTTGGCTAAGGGAATCAGTCACAGAAACCTGTGGAATTTTCTTCAAATGGTACATGATAGATCGACCTTTTAATTCTACACTTTTTTGTTTCATCTAGACTTAGCTCTAGTAGGTATCAAAACATAACAGTGTTATAAAACTATAAACTCTGGTCTAATTTTTTAATTGAAAAAATAAAAAAGCTTACTGCTGGATTTTATTTCTATTACTATGCTTTTTGTTTCCATCTGCTTCAGTTATCCTTAACATTATCAAATAAAAAACTAGATTTTCTTCATCTTACTACCTAAATGAAAGCAGTTCCTTAGTCCCACCACAAGCTTCCCTGAAGAGTTGTCTGTATCTGAAATTATTTCGAAAACAAAGAAAAAGTTGTTCTGATGGGCATTACAACTCCCCAATAGCAGTAGGTTTTACCACAAGACACCTTGATTTTTAAGCAATTAACACACCATTTTCATGTTGGCAAAATAGAGTACTTACCTGAACAAAGGCAACTGTAACAACGATAAGTATTGCCTAAACAAAAGAAACAGGCTTTTAAATCAGACATTAACTTGAGAAGTAACTGTTAACTGTTATTTTATTTCTCTATCTGCAGTCCCACAACAACAGATTTTAAACACTGAGATCAGCTGGAGAAAAAATCACTTTACCTTAAGGCCTGTGGGGGAAGCAGCCAACAGTTTACAGTGGCTTGCCATTACCAGGGCAGCTTCTCTAACTTTTTGATCTCAGGGCCCTTTTATGCTCTCACAAATTGAGGACTAGCTTTTGTTTAAGTGGGTTATATATACTGATATTTACCATAATAATTTTTTTCAAATAGTTTTCATTTCTACTTAACTTATCTAAAAAAATTTAAACCTCATTACATGTTAACACAAATAACTTTATGAAAAATAAATTTTCCAAAAAAAATTGTGAGAAAAACAGCAGTGTTTTAGAGAAAGCTAGTATTCCATCTACTATAACATACGGTTCGGGCTAAGGTGTATGAAGAAAATCCAGCCTCATACAGATAAGGTGGAAAAGGGAGGGGCATTTTTTATTTTTTTTAGGGAGGAGCATATTTTTTTGTTTGTTTGTTTTTGTTTTTGAGACAGAGTCTTGAGCTGTCGCCCAGGCTGCAGTGCAGTGGCACGATCTCAGCTCACTGCAAGCTCTGCCTTCTGGGTTCACGCCATTCTCCTGCCTCAGCCTCCCGAGGAGCTGGGACTACAGGTGCCCGCCACCAGGCCCGGCTAATTTTTTTTGTATGTTTAGTAGAGACGGGGTTTCACTGTGTTACCCAGGATGGTCTCAATCTCCCGACCTCATGATCCGCCTGCCTCGGCCTCCCAAAGTGCTGGGATTACAGGCATGAGCCACCGCGCCCAGCCTAGGGAGGAGTATTTTAACAGATTTTTCAGAAGATTGTGGATATTCTTCTTAGCTACTACACCAAAACTCAACAAGTGCTAGTTACTTAAAGGTAATCTACAATGTAGAATATAAAACTGTATGGATGAACTTTTCATAATCTATTCTATCAAAATCCATTGACCTATCTTGCATTTGAACGGATCTTTTACCATTTCAGATTTTGTAACATCATGCATTGGTCTTCTGGGAAATACTGGTTCACTTGGTTATTCAAATCTTTCCCAAGATTCCCCAAATGTTTCCCAAGATTACCACATTTCTTAACAATTTTTTTTTAAAAACACACATTTGTTGAAATCACTACTGATCTAATTGGAATAAAGTCTTAAATACTGGGATACTATCCAGCCCATAGGAGTACATACAAATTTTCCAAAATTCAGTAATTATTGCTTGAAAATCTGAATTTTATCATTAGCAACAAATTCTGCCAGTTGCCTTTCCTTGGTATGATTCGCTCATTTAACTCACTTTCAAAAATAAGAATCTGCTGGTTACCCAAGTCCTAACACCCATAGTTTGTCTGTGAGTCAGTCACTCAAGTACACGGCTAGTTTGCCTCACAATAATCACCCTTCCTTAAGACAACCATTGTATTTCAATATACAAAAGAGTTTCATGCATATTTCCCATTTCATTACACAAATTACTACGAAGGTATGTACTCAAGGGTCCAGATTTAATAAAATTAATTTTTACTGCTTTATCAAGAACACCCTTAAGAGAAACATGAAAGAAAACAAGGACTGTTAACAAAGTTTGGTGCTATTACTTTGATTGTGCTAAGGCCCTAACAATTTCACCCACCATTGTTTTCATGCCATTAATGCCAAAAGTCTATAATTAAAAGACAAATAATGTTCTAGTATTATTAAAATGGTTGCGACCACACACACCCCTTGAACAGGTCTCAGGGATTTCTGGGAGACTGCAAGCAAAATAGTTCAAGAGCTGCAACTCTACAATAATAGCTACAGTGTTCTTAAGCATAACATAGTGCTTTTACTTGCTACAAATTTTTTATATAACAATGATAGGGGGCAAAAAGGAAAAAGATGAGAAAATAGTTCAATGAAAGCTAGAATAACCTAGCTAGAAAGAATAAAATCATCTATAGTATATGTATGCAGTAAATACACCATGCACTGTAAGAAATATTTTTAATTCCACATGTCAGGCTTTAGTTCACAACTAGTCAAAATATATTCTCAAAAGCAAAGTGAAAGAAATTTAAAATTTAATCAGATAATTATAAAATTTCGTATCTGTGAAAATTATCAGATTGCTAAAGAATTTTCATGTGTGCTAGTCACAGACTTTTGAACATTACTCAAAATTACTGTAACTATAATAAAAGCAGAAGTTAAGCCAGTTGCTCACACCTGTAATTTTGACACTCTGGGGAGGCCAAGGTGGGAGGATCACTTGAGGCCAGGAGTTTGAGACCAGCCTGGGCAACATAGCAAGACCCTGTCTTTACAAAAATTTTGTAAAATTGGTGGGGGTGTTAGCATACACCTGCAGTCCCAACTACTCAGGATGCTGAGGCAGAAGATAGCTTGAGCCCAGGAGTTCGGGGCTGCAATGAGTCATGACTATACCACTGCACTCCAGCCTGGGCAATAGAACAAGAAACTGTCTCAACAAAAAGAATAAAATTAAAGCAGAATTTGGACACTGAAAAAAATCTGAGAGCATTTCTCAATTTATTTTCCAAAATAAAAACCAATCCCAATTTATACACTTACTCAACAGATCAAAAATAGGTAATTTTTTTCTTACCACAGTGATACTGACGGCATCATCAAACTGATGCATTAAAACACTGATGACTGCAGAAGCCAGAAGCAGCATAATAAGGGGATTTTTAAACTGAAAGTAAAAACAAACAGCAATTCAACACAGTTTTGTACATGACAGTTCGCTCAGCAAAGGCTTTAAAAAAAAAAAAAAAAGAAAAAAAAACCGTAAGAGTATGACTGGAAAATTACAAAAGTCTATACTTGGTTTATTTTATGTATCTCTTCGATTAACAAAAAAAAAAAAAAAAAAAAGTTTATACTTAACTATGTTTAAAAGCTTTGTAACAGTTCCTTTTCAGAAAAAAAAGAAAATTAAATAGCAATACTTAAAACTAAGAATTAACCAATTCCTTATAGTATACAGCAATTTTTGGTATATTAATTTAATAAATATAGCTGTTCTGAATTTCTACTGAGGCTAGAAAAAGCAGAAGATGATATTTAAGCTAAAAATTTAGGTTAAATACTGAATAGAACACTGAGATTCAAACATTTCTCAAGTAAGTACATTGGTATAGATTACAATTCTGTGGCTGACTCACATATCACAGAAAAATTTCCTCCTCTCCACAAAAGAAACTGAAGATTTTCCTCAAGGCTAGCTTTCCTGGTTTCTAGCTACCAGAGAAAATCATATCTAAAGAAAAGGACTATAGCATCAACCTGATCAGAAAGCATTTAAATGACCTCACACCACAGTCAACCCCAAATTCTTCCAGTTGGACATTCTATTCCTTGAAGCTCTGATGTTAGAATCTCTTCCTCTGCTAAAGTGTTACATCACTGTCAAAGTTGCGAAGTAACTGACTAGGCTACAAAGAATCCGCCCCACCAGAAAGCCCCAGCCCTTAGATACCATAGCTCTGAGGTTACATGCCACCACCTCCAAAGTCCCTTTATGGTTCCATTCCCTGGAACAAGTCCCAATCCATGTCACATCAGAATCCTATAAGAAACTTTTAACAATACCAATGCCCAGATTCACACCAAATTAATTAAATCAAAATCTTTAGGCATAAGGCCCAGGCTTTAGCATTTTTTAACCCTCCCCAAGTGATTCTAATGAGGATTTTAAAAAAATAGTAATAAGTTAAACCGCCCTAACAAAACAACACTACAACTGCAATATGGTTCAGGGCTAACCAACCAGAAACCTGACCGAGTCAGAGTACCTAGGTTTGAATCCAGCTGCTGGCACCTGTGTGTCACCTTAATCTTTTTAAGCTCCAGATTCTTCATCTGGTAAAACAGAGCATTATACCAAAGAACTGTTAAAAGGATTAACTAAGAATGTACATTAAAACACCATGTAAACTAAAAAACGTTCTTTAAAATGTTAGCTATTAACACCACACTTTGAGGGCAAGCCCCATGATCTTTTTTATTTTCCCCTGAAAAAGCTGTGCCACATTACTAAGCACACCACTTGATAGATGGCAGGCTGCAGAGGAGGAAAGAGTCACCCAGTGCTTTATGATTACGATGACTATTGACTGTTATTTGTTTGGTTGTGCTTAACTACATTACAAGCACTATTTAATTCTCACAGGCATCCCAAGGGGCAGGTGCTCCAGCTTTGATAACAGGATCAAGAAAGTAAAACATTAAATCATACTGCCTAGGGATAAGTCAAATCATTACAATTTATAAATCCAGAGTAAACTATGTCAATACTTTCTGAAGTCTTGGTAATGTGGGAATGTGGTAACTGTGAAAATACAAAGACACATACAAATAATATTCCATAAAAATAAGACAGATACACGCGAGGTTCATCTAACCTTTAAAATTCCAGTGTTGCTACTTTAGACAAACTCATTTGCAAAATTAAGCCTGGCAAATTTAAGTTCATTAGCAGAAAAGGCACTTTAGAAAAGAAAAGTTACACACAGATCTTTTTAGAAAGACTGCAGGTTAAAAGGCACAGACATTTACTAAAAAGAAATTTTTAGCAAAAAATGTTTGTTTAGCAAACCAACCCAATTACTTCAAAACTAATCCTAGTAACCTGTAACTTTTTACATTAACACAATCATTATCATGACAAAAACTGCCTAGAATAAGTCTTTCCTAAAAATTGGGATGAAAAAATATAAATATCATCTACTGAGAGCTAACTATCTCCTGTAAGGTTACCATCACCATTTTATAGATAAGGATCAGAGGATAATAAAGACCATACAATTGATAAGAAATGAAGGTGTAATTTGTACCCAGGTAGCTTGAGTTTCACTTAC